TGGTCTTTTATTGTGCATTTTTCGACCACATCCATCTCCTTCTTCTCTTGTTCTGAGACCTTTTTGGAGTTTAGCTCGATTGCATTCTCGGATTCATCCTGCTTAAGCGTATTGGTAAGTTCTTCTTCCCTCTTATCGACAATTCAAGTTCTAAAAGATTTTTCTGACTAGAAGCTTCACACGGATTTTTTCTTTGCTACAACCATTCTCGATATCGTCTGGAATATTTTCAAGAGACATCTGGAACTTGATCTCTTCCAATTGTATCTCCAGTTTTCGGATTGATGCTTGAGTGTTCATGAATTCTTCAATGATGGATTTCAAATAAAGCTCATTAATAGTGGGTTCTCGTGGCCTTGCATAATAGGTTTGAAAATATCCAATTGCGGCTCTCGATGTTGAAAATCTTTGAAATCTTGGCTCAGAACGCTATGCTCGTACGTGTTGGTGTATGTGTTCCAATAACCTCTATTGATATTATCAATGGAATTATTCACTTTCGGTGCTTCCCAACATTGGTTAGTGTTGGGCTAAATACCTAACACGCAAGTGCACGTATCACAAACAAGTAGTAAAAGTGGACTCGTGAAAGTCGGATGTCGATCCCACAGGGAATACTCAAATTATCTAATCTTAAGTACCAAATTCTAACAATTATGATTTTTATCCAGCCTACGCAAGGTTGTCAAATTTAATCAATTAAACAATTAAACTAATTAAGAAAGCAAATAAGCACGAGAAAATATCAAGTGTTATGTGTATGTAGTTGGTGAATTTGAGGCGAAATGTTTCGAAGAAAAGTGAAAATTTTGAAAAGAGGAAGCCAGGGTTCGAAGTGGGAGAGAGAGAGGATTTGGAATTGTGAAAATTGTGGTGTGGACCCTTCTTTAATACGCCCCTGCCTTGTTTCGCACGGCCGTGTGAAGAATTGAACTGTTTTCCGCACGGCCGTGCGAATTTCAAAATTGGGGCAGTAGCCTTCTGTTCCTCGCACGACCGTGCGAGATTTCAGTGTTATTTCCGCACGGCCACGCCCCAAGTCAGAATTGGGCAGTAGCCTTCTCCGATTTTCAGACGGCCGTGCAAAATTTTAAGTACTTTTTCGCACGGCCGTGCCCCACACCAAATTTGTACAGTAGCTCATCCGAAATTTCACACGGCCGTGTGAAATTTCAGCCTTTTTCTTGCGCGGCCGTGTGAAATGTGAAAATTGCATTCTAACCCCTTGAAAATAAAAATATTGCTTAATTCATTAGTGTGCATGCTTCAAATAAAAATAAAGATAAAAATAAAAACTAATAACAAAAACTAACAAAAGTAATAAAAGAAAAGAATGATAAACGAAATCTCGGGTTGCCTCCCGAGAAGCGCTAAGTTTACAGTCTTTAGCCAGACTTTGTCTGCTTCTTTGTTCAAGCTAACGTGACCGAAGTCACTTGGCGATTAAATTTTCCTTCCCGATAATGCTTGAGGCGTTGCCCATTGACTTTGAAAGATTGTCCGGTTTCGGAGTCCAATAACTCGACTGCGCCGTGCGGAAATACTTCGAGTATAGTAAACGGTCCGGACCATCTTGACTTGAGTTTTCCTGGAAACAACTTTAGACGGGAGTTGTAAAGGAGTACCAATTAACCCTTTTGAAATTTGCGATGCAATATCTTGTTATCGTGCCAACACTTGGTTTTTTCCTTGTACACACGATTGCTTTCATAAGCATTCAATCTCAATTCATCGAGCTCGTTGAGTTGCATCATTCGTTTTTCCTTGCATGCTTCAAGATCGAAATTCAGCTTCTTAATTGCCCAAAACGCATTATGCTCCAATTCAACCGGCAGATGACACGCCTTGCCATAAATCAATCGAAACGGTGTCATCCCAAGTGGAGTTTTGTAAGCTGTACGATATGCCCAAAGTGCATCGTCTAATTTGATCGACCAATCCTTCCGGGTAGGACTCACAACTTTTTCGAGGATATTTTTGATTTCACGATTCGTGACCTCGGCTTGCCCGTTCGTCTGTGGGTGGTAGGCCAATGCGACCTTGTGCTTTACACCATACTTGGCCAAGAGTGCCTCGAATTGTTTATTGCAAAAGTGAGTGCCCCCATCACTAATAATTGCTCATGGTGTTCCAAAGCGAGTGAAAATCTGTCTTTTCAAGAAAGCACAAACCACTGCAGAATCATTAGTAGGAAAGGCGGCCGCCTCAACCCATTTAGATACATAATCGACGGCCACTAAGATGTATATGTTATTGAATGATGGGACAAAAGGCCCCATAAAATCTATTCCCCATACATCGAAGGGCTCTACTTCGATCATTGTATTTAATGGGAGTTCGTGCCTCCTAGAAATATTACCAACTCGCTGACATCTATCGGAACTTGATACAAAATTATAGCAATCTTTAAACAGAGTTAGCCATAAGAAACCGATTGAAGTACCTTTCTGGCCGTGCGCTCACCTCCATAATGCCCCGCATAGTCCGAGCCATGGCAATGACAAAGTATATCTCCTTGCTCGCTTTCTGGTACACATCTTTGGATGACTAAATTGCTGCATTGTCTAAACAAAAAGGGTTCTTCCCAAAAGTAGAAATTCACATCGTGTAAAAACTTTTTTCGTTGACGAAAAGTGAGCTCAGGTGGAAGTACATGGCTAACTAAATAATTCACAAAATCCGCATACCATGGTACTTCTTGATTATAAACAACAAGTAATTGTTCATCCGGAAAGTTTTCATTAATGCAAATTGGATCTTTTAATTCCGTTTCTAGCCTAGATAAATGATCGGCTACTTGGTTCTCTCTATCCTTACGATCACGAATTTCCAAATCAAACTCTTGCAACAGTAAGACCCATCTAATAAGTCTAGGTTTTTGCTTCTTTTTTTTTCTATCAAATATTTCAAAGCCGAGTGATCCGTAAAGACAATGACCTTTGTGCCTATAAGATATGATCTAAATTTTTCGAATGCAAAAACAACTGCTAGCAACTTTTTTCCAGTAGCGGTATAGTTTAATTGCGTATCGTTTAGAGTTTTACTAGCATAGTAAATTGAATGAAAAATTTTATTCTTTCTTTGACCCAACACGGCACCTACCGCATAATCACTGGCATCACACATAAGTTCAAAGGGTTCGTCCCAATCAAGCACAACAATAATGGGAGCAGTTACTAACCTTGTTTTCAAGTCCTCGAAGGCTTTGAGGCATTCGTAATTGAAGTCAAATTTGACGTCCTTCTCCAACAAATTGCACAATGGTTTGGCAACCTTAGAAAAATCCTTGATGAACCGCCTCTAGAATCCTGCATGTCCCAAAAAACTTCGAATTCCCTTTACCGAAATTGGTGGCGGTAATTTTTCGATTGGCTCGATTTTGGCTCGATCGACTTCTAACCCTTTCCTTGACACCTTGTGTCCAAGCACAATCCCTTCTTGCACCATAAAATGACACTTTTCCCAGTTGAGCACCAAATTTGTCTCTTCACACCTGCGAAGAACCTTAGCCAGTATTTGGAGACAAGTGTCATACGTATCACCGAAAACAGAAAAATCGTCCATAAGAATTTCAAGACCACATTCAACCCTGTCCGTAAAAATTGCCATAATGCAACGTTGAAAAGTAGCAGGAGCATTGCATAAACCGAAAGACATATGTCTAAAGGCAAAAGTACCAAAAGGACAAGTAAAAGTGGTTTTGTCTTGATCCACGGGAGCTATGGCGATTTGGTTATAACCGGAATACCCATCTAAGAAACAATAAAATTCTTGACAAGCTAGCCTATCAAGCATTTGATCAATAAAGGGCAAGGGGAAATGGTCTTTTCGAGTGGCTTTATTCAATTTTCTATAATCCATGCAAATTCGCCAACCCGTTACTGTCCTAGAATGGATTAATTAATTTTTTTCGTTTTTTATAACAGTCATCCCCCCTTTCTTAGGTACACATTGTACTGGACTAACCCACGCACTATCAGAAATAGGAAAAATAATACCTGCGTCTAACCACTTGATGATTTCTTTCTTCACAACTTCCTTCATGATGGGGTTCAATCGCCTCTGCTGTTCCACTGAAGATTTATGGCTCTCCTCCAATATGATCTTGTGCATGCAAAAGTTGGACTTATACCCTTGATGTCGGAAATTGTCCATCCAAGTGCTAGCTTGTGCTCTCGCAAGACATCCAAAAGTCTCTTTTCCTGTAGGCCTGTCAAAGATGAAGAAATAATAATAGGTAAGGTATCATGAGCTCCAAGGTACATATATTTTAAATGAGAAGGTAAAAATTTAAGCTCAAGTTTCGGAGGTTCGATCACTGAAGGCTTAAAAGTGACAGATAGCGGGAGTTCCGTTTCCAAATTTTCAAAGCGTGGTCTTGACAGCGGCTTTGCTGAATCCAACCAACATAATTGTTCCGTCACTGCTTCTTCCTCAACTGATGTTCCTACACTCAAAGATGCTTCCAACGGATCCGCAATTAAAGGTTCAATAAAATCAAAATTCAAGTGATCTAACACATCAAAAGCAAAACATTCATCACCCTCTTGAGGATGCTTCATTGTACGGAAAACATCAAATTTAATCGTTTCATCCCCAAAGACATAGATAAAATACCATTATACACATCAATTATAGTTCTACCCGTTCTCAAAAAAGGTCTTCCCAAAATCAAAGGAATTTCTTTATCTTCTTCCATATCAAGAACTACAAAATCTGCAGGAAAGATGAATTTATCTACTTTGACTAACACATCCTCAACTATTCCTTTTGGGTATATGAGTGATCTATCGGCTAACTGTAAAGTCACTGATACCAATTTTATATCTCCTAATCCCACACTTTGAAAAACTGAGAAAGGCATGAGATTAATGCTCGCTCCTAAATCTATGAGAGATTTTGCAAAGAACTTACCTCCGATAGCGACTGGAATCGTAAACTTACCCGGGTCTCCAAGCTTTGGTGGAATTGGGCGAGTAAGAATGGCACTGCATTGTTCGGTTAAGGCTATCATCTCATGTTCACCGAGAATTCCGTTTCTTCGATACAATGTCTTTCAAAAATTTTACCCAATGAGGCATTAGTTCAAGTGCTCGAGTAAAAGGAATCTTAATATGTAATTCATTCAATTGCTCAAGAAAACTTTTGTAGTACGACTCATTCTTTGCCTTTATCTGGCGTTGAGGATAAGGTACCTGTGGGGTCGGCTTAGGTGCAACGACCCTTTTCTCACCTGGTGGATCTGTCAGAGTCTCAACTTCTTTTTCTTGTTGCTCTCCTCCATCCTTGCTTGTCGCTTTCATCGTCACTTCTTCCAATTGTCTCCCATTCCTCAAACTTACGGCTTTGCATTGCTCGTTGATGCCCTTTTGAGGATCTTCCGTATTTGACGGTAATGTACCGTCTGGCCTCGCGTTTAGTTGGGTTGCAAATTGACCCATCTGTGTTTCCAAATTTCGGATGGATGCTTGGGTAGACGTCATAAATTGGGCCAAGATATTTGCGAGGTCTCCACCTTGAGGTGGAGCTTGAGGCGGATTTTGGAATCCGGGAGCTGGCCGTGAATAACTAGGAGGTTGACCTTGAGGTGGTGCTTGCCTTTGCCTTGCTGATTTCCTCTCCATCCAAAGTTAGGGTGATCTTTCCATCCCGGATTATAACTGTCGGAGTACGGGTTCCTCTGTTGTCGATTAGTGTCATGTACATAATTTAGAGACTCCGTTTCTTCTACACACTGGTGGGGAATTTGGACTGCATGGACTTGCTGAGTTCACAATGCGGCTACTAGCTTAGATAGCTTCTCTAATTGGGCAGTGATTGCGGTGACCCCGTCTAACTCCAAAATTCCTCCCGTCTTTATGGCTCCGCTATTGGACCGGTCTGATGCCCGCATGTATTTATTCCTAGCGATTCGCTCCAAAGGTTTGTATGCTTCGTCATAGGTCAAGCTCATGAACATACCGCCAGCTGCTGAATCGAGCACCGTTCTCGATTTATCTTGCAACCCGTCATAAAGTATTTGAAGTTGCCGCCACTCTTGAAGTCCGTGATTTGTGCACCTGCGAATTAATTGTTTGAACCGCTCCCACGTCTCGAATAACGCTTCACCGGCTTCTTGTATGAAGTTTTGTATTTCTCTCCGGATTCTCTCAGTTTTTGTTGAGGAGTTGTATGTGTTAATGAAAAGTTGTGCTAGCTGGGGCCAAGACGAGATGGAGTGCGGTGCATGAGTTTGTAACCACTCTCGGGCTGCTCCTTGTAAAGAGTGCTTGAACAGGTGGAGTTGCAGTGCTTCAGGAGATACGCCGTTCATCTTATGCGAATCACAGGTTTCGAGAAAATTGACCAAGTGGAGATGCGGATCTTCATGAACTAATCCGCTGAACAACCCATTGTTTTGGAGCATAATAAGGAGTCGCGCTCGAATTTCGAAATTGTTGGCTTCAATGGGGGGCTGCTGGATGCTTGATTGAAACCCATTGAGTGTTGGAACGGTGTACTCATGCAATGCTCGTTGGCGAGGTGGTGGATTAATGAGTTGACGTTGCTCTTGCTCGTTGATGATATTTCCTGCCGCATTCGGTAGGCGCCCTTAGTCATCTCCCCCACGATTAATCTCTTCTTCCATTGTTGCGGGAACGTTTCGAGCTAACCGTTGATTTCTCCTGGCGTGCCTAGACGTTCGCTCAATTTCGGGATCAAGAGGTAGCAAGTTCGTGTCGTGTCCTCTTCGCATAAAAAGTACCTAAAACAAAAATAAAAAATAAAATAGGCAATTAGAATAATAGGATAGAATAGATAAAAACGGCTGAAGTAAGAAAAATTGCTTAAATTTAATATTAGGATAAATAAATAATTTAGCCATAATTCCCCGGCAAAGGGCGCCAAAAACTTGTTGGGCTAAATACCTAACACGCAAGTGCACGTATCGCAAACAAGTAGTAAAAGTGGACTCGTGAAAGTCGGATGTCGATCCCACAGGGAATACTCAAATTATCTAATCCTAAGTACCAAATTTTAACAATTATGATTTTTATCCAGCCTACCCAAGGTTGTTAAATTTAATCAATTAAACAATTAAACTAATTAAGAAAGCAAATAAGCACGATATAATTTCAATATAAAAACGAATCTAGGATTTTATCTTCCCCCTATGCGATAATTCATCACCCAATTAAACCTCTATCTTGCAAGTTACGATTCCTGATTCTTAACCCGAGACACGAAATTACTCATAACCCGCTGTCACGTGTATTATGAGTCTATTATTTATAACCGATTAACTATATGTCTATGCAAACTAATTATGACTAAAGCATTAACTAACAAGTCTCGTAAACGGCTATCTAAGGTATTATCTATATGTCTACAATAATACATGCAATTAACACACTCATCCGGTGAAAACTACTCGAAGGCTCTTCTATCCCTGTTCTAATTATTAAAACGATCTGTCAATCATTTCTAACAATAACACATAGCGACATAAATTAGCTAGGTTCATGCGCTATATAAGATTAAAATAGAAGAAATAATCACGGAATTTAAACTTGCATAATATTAGAAAAATAGGTTCGAATTACCACATAGGGTTCAAATAAAATCCTAGATTAAAAAAACTTAGCTACTCATGTTCTCTACGAAAAACATAATAAAAATACGAAAATTCATAAACGTCGAAAATAAAAGTAAAGGGAGAACTATGATGAAGATTCGTCAAGTCTTTTTCTTCGTTGCTCCGTTCTCTAGCTCCTAAATTGCGTGTAAAGATCAACTTCCAATTGTGTGCTTGGCTTGGCCCTTATATAGGGTGCAAAAATATAAGAGGGCGGTTTCCTTGTGTAATTAAACTTCCTTCACTGCGCCTCCTCGTGATCTCGGACGGCCGCGCCAGATTTAGTGCTGAAACTCGGACGGCCGTCTGGGCTTCAAATCTTCAAAGTTTGATTTTGTTACTTTTGGCCAACTTTTTCTCAGAAATTGCAGTTTTTACCCCATAAGTTTCCAATTCTTCAATTTGTACCTAAAATACAAATAATAACCATTTTAAGCACCAATTATCGTTAAAGCACACCAAAAGCTCCAATTAAAAGGTACGATTAAGTGTAAAAATATACACTTAACAGTTAGTGTAATGATTCGCACCACTTGTTGAACAAAATAGAGGCATATCATAGGTGTTTCGGAGGTATTCACAAATCTCATTTGAGGTACGCGAAGATTGTAACGTGATATGTAACCAAACAAAACAAAATGTTAATAATAATAATAATAATAATAATAATAATAATAATAATAATAATAATAATAATAATAATAATAATAATAATAATAATAATAATAATAATAATAATAATAATAATAATAATAATAATAATAATAA